GATGCGCTCCCGTGGACTTTCACGTTCGCTTTCAACGGTACTTAGGCGTCACGTAATTGCCAGGGTAATTGCCGATATGGAAAATCCACGGCAGCTGTGCGGGCCGAAGAATAGGAGAACGTCGCACGCGGCGGTGTCGGATGAAAAGTGGTCGCGAGGTCTGTAATTGCAACCTCCGTGCAACTGAAATTACTCGAGAAGAAATACGAGCGAGCGAATGAGACAGTATTTGACGATGATCATTGGCGAGCGAGATAGACCGAAGTAATTAATTGCCACGAGTTTGGCTCCTCTATTCATTCTTTTACTTCATCCTCTTCATCTCCTATTTTTCTACTTCTCCTTTCCGCTGCATCTTTTTCACCTTATCATTGGTTTCTTTCCTCCCTCCCCGCCCCGCTATATCCATAACCCCGCTATAACGATAACTTGCATGACTTGCATGTGCATTTTTGTAACATTTCAACTTTCCCGTTGCAACGCGTGTACATGTGTTTCTCGGTAATTTTCAAAAGTTCTCTATTAAATCGAAAATATGCTTTCTTTTTGCCGTACACGCCGCTTTCTCGAGCCATTGTCTTATTGTCTCACAAGAATGGCAACTCGAGATTACTTTAAGTGTACATAAAGAGAACGTTCATTAGTACGTTTTGAGTTGTGCGGCAAATGAGGTACGCGCGTTCGCACATTCGAGCGTTGCCCAGCGGCTTTTCCATCGACAACGACATCGACAACGACATCGACAACGACATCGACAACGACATTCGCTGCGATTTTATGCTTATACGGATTGAAAAATCCACGCCTCCGTGCTCCGAAATAAAATAGAGGCCGTGGGGCGTTGTGCAAAGTTGCCGCAGTGCCACGCGTGCGGAATTTTTCAACATCTCGTACGAGAGCAACGGATCCTTAAACAAAGCGCTACATCGCGCCCGACCTTCGATCGACGAATTTATTATGGGACGCCATTGGAATCCCAACAGGAGGAAAGTGAGCGCTCGCCTATCGCCGTGATCAGTCATATATAAATCCCGCGATACCAGTAAAGTTGCGCAGCCTCTGGAATCCCGCCGGGAATAAAGAAGGGCGAGGGCGGTAACTTGGCGCGAGCGTGATACAAAAGGTAGTCCCGGATTATTCAATTAAAAACCCACTCGATGGATTAATTAGCCGGAGAGTTGTTGCCCACCTCGATACTTTATTCATACACCGTGACTTTTCCACATTTCTCAGCGGTTCTCCATTTTCAAAAGGCCGCTACATAGGAGGTGGAAGAGCACGGTGAACGGCACTGCTTGCACAGCACGCGCACGCGCCTCAGCGATATCTTCGGCTCCGATCGGGCGATTGTCCTCCGCGCGATGAACGGGATGTCACGGGGATGCGAGGGAGTACGACAGCCAAGGTCGCCCACGGGAACATTTCTTTTTGCGGTCTCGCGGGCGCGCGACGGAGAAGGGGCCGTACGGTCTGGGGAAGCCAGCCTCAGCGCGACAGGCAAGTCTTGAGCGTGTCGAGCTTACGTCGTCCGGACCTTTTCCTTTTTCTTGAATTTTATTGGACAGTCGGGTTGGATTGCGTGACATTGTGTGGTGCGCAGGTAATATGCACGATGCTCGTCGTTTTCCAAGATTTCATCGAGACGCGATGAAACGTATCTTTCGAATGTCTTACATAATTTTCACGGACTTTGCAGTTAAGTGTTTGCGGAGCTATAAAGCGCTCGCCTTCACGTTTTTCAACTCCGAGAGATGAATTATCTTTATTACGGATTAACAGGTACGCGTGAAATAATGAAAAAATTATACGAAACTAATAAAACTCTCTTCGATGTCTCAATTAAGCTGTGCTTACGTACGTACCTTCGTCTCTCTCATCGCAGTTTCATTAAGTGATTCAGTTGATTCGATTGATTCTATTTTTGTCTTTTTTTTTCTTTTTCTTTTTCTTTTTTTTTTTTTTTGTATTTTTGTTTGTTTCTTTTCATTTTGTTTGCGTTTTTATTTCATACCGATAAACAATGCTCTCGACCAATAATTTATGCTAATGCACCGCCAATGGAAATGCGATATATTAGATTAATTGTAACAAGATTAAATGCTCGTATGTAGCATTGGCCATTCGAGTGCCTATGAAAGATTTACATCGATAAAACGATAATACCGTGCCTGAAAACGAGCATCAGGTACATTACACACGTACATGTCCTATGCGCACGTTTGCGCGTGCCCGTATGTGTATACACAAAGGTGCACACAAATACGTATATATTTTTATATTTATATTTGTATATAAAGTGGAGCATACTTGGCTGACGTAATTAAACTTGTGATTTGTTCTTTTAAACGAAAAACCACAAGATAATTATAAATTCCTTTGTAACTATAGAAATATTCACCTTTACAATGAAATTTTTTGTTATTTAAAATTTATTATTCTTTTCGCGTACGTATTGCGTATAAATTTTCGTTACGTATGATTTACAGATTGCTGAACTGAATAATCAAAACTGCATAGAATTAAGTCACGAAATATAATTCGATAAATTTATGTCTACGCGTTTTGCTGTCGTAAAAAAAACAAATAATAGGAAATCACGAAGGTAATAACAATTCTAAATACATTGATTATTTTATTATGGAATGGAATTTTCTTGCGTATCGCGAATCGCTTTTTCTTCGGCGAAAGAGGAAAAATCCGAGCCACGAGTCACTGCAGATATTAATATCGCCATCGACATTATAATCGCTCCACTCGTCGAGAAATCATTAAATCGGGTGATAAAAAATGATTCCCATACTATTGTCACGGTGCGTTCCTTTTTTTACTCGCCTTTCTTAAAACGCGCCCGAGAATAATCGGCCAAATAAAGTGTGGCAATCGCACCCAAGTCATTGCGTCAGTTTTATCGACACTTATCCGTTAGCCCGAGAGGCCAGCATAAAAAAAGCCGTGCGACGCCTCGACATTAGAGTAACTCGAAAGCATCTCCGAGGTTCAGGATTTCTAGATTTCATATCCATCTTCTTCTTCTTCTTCTAGTCTCTCTCTCTCTCTCTCTCTCTCTCTCTCTATCTATCTATCTATCTATCTCTATCTATCTACCTATCTCTATCTTTCTTTCTATCCCTATCTCTTACGTAAGCATCGTGACAAAGTCCGGACGCGCAACATTTTGGAAAATCCCAACGAGTCTGACACACTTCTTTTTGCAAAACGTAAACTCCAACTGCGACGCTGAGGTCGGGGAAGGGGTCAAAAAGAAAGATGAGATGGAGGAGGAGTGGATAAGGGTCGACGACGGGGGCGAGGAGTTAAGCGCGAGTCACGTTGGGTAAAGACGTTCGTAACGTCGACGGCGATTCAACGCGAAAGAGGTATGAGATGCTTCGGCCTTGCCCTCGGTACGCACCTCTTTTTTTCCCTCTCCCCTTTCCCCCGGCCCCTTACTCCTCGCGTGCCACAACTCCTGATCACGCCTTCCTTGCCTCGGATTACGCGCAATCTTCGGAATCCTCGTGACAATCTCGTTCTCGCGCGATCGTTTTACATGGGACTTGACTGCGACTATACGACTCGCCATTATCCCGTTCTTATTGTCATTTATTGCTGAAAGGAGCATTGAAAGTAAGGCTTACCTCACTACGCGACGCCGATGGAACAACAGTAATTTGTTGTAATAAATTTTTCTTCTAGCTAAATATAAACAGGGGCCAGATATCGTAAGCTAATGTTACATTAACACGGCA